TCTTTAATTTGCCTCGAGGAAGCTGGTGTCCTCAACCTCGCATTCAGCATGGGCTTAAGATCTGGGAGGGTCAGACCCAGACATGCGATTAGAAAAGGAGGCAGGATGGGGCAGGGGATTTGGAGTTGAGAAGACCCACATTAACATTTTGATTCTGACACTAGCACAAGCGACAGAAACGATGAGTCCTGATTCCTTACTTTTGATAGAAGGTATAATAATACCTACCTTTTAGATTGTTGTAACAGTGAAATGAAATACTATACAGACAGCACTTGGCAGAGTGCCTGATCCAAAGAAGACACATATTAAGAAGAGTGGAGCAAGGGAGGGGAGAAAAGCCAGAAATACTCAAATTAGGCAAACCCATCGAAACAGAACATCAGTTGGTGGCTGTCATGGGCTAGGAAGAGGAGGGATTTGGGAGTGGCTGCTAATGGGTCTCAGTTCTAGTTTCGATATGGTTTCTTTTTAGGTGATGAAAATGTTCTGGAATTAAATGGTAGTTTACACAACTTTATGAATACACTAAACATCATCAGCCAGCAGGTAGCATGGTGGTTAAGATGCTGGATCCCACACGCCTGACTTCTTGATTTGAGTCCCAGACCCAGTGGTTTGAAAAGGACATGCATGTGTGTGTGCCCAAAGTCTCAAGAGGAGAATGGAGGAGAAGGGATTGTGGCGTGGCCATTCCCCGTTAGGGGTGATTTCTCACTTTCTCTCTTTTTCCTGCTGTCTTTTTCTGGTGAGCACATGTGCCCTACAACAAAAAATTTTTGAAAACAAACCAAAAATAAGTCAAGAAGTACTCTTTAAAATGATGAATTCTGGACATGAATTCTACTTTAATAACAAGAAGAAGTTACATACATACACAAAGATGAAAACACAGTAGAAGCCTAAGGAAACTGCTGAAGACAGGAAAGTACAAAGAGTAGAGGCGACGAGGAGGAAATTAAGGCATGGAAAAGGGAGTGTGCACACGTGTGTGTGCATATGTGCACATTTGAAGAACAAGCCTGACCTTCATGTGACTAGCATTTAACCGGAAAATCCAGTTACTGAAAACGACCCACTGGCTGACCATGCTGACCAACAGGGGTGTGAGGAGAGAACCCCGAGCTAGGGGCTAGGAGGCTCTATGCTTATAACCTCTAAGACTGATCAGGCCCATTCCTCTCTTCAAAGACAAGGAGACCCTGGCCAGAGAATGGAAGAGATTTCCCCCAGGTGGCCGAGATGGGGCTGAGCCCCAGGCGTCCCTAACTTCACTGGCTTCTTCAAGTGCATTCAGCCTTCCCAGACAGGAAGACGGGAGGGTTAATGGAGGTCGACGGCTGCTTTTCCTCAGTAATTGTGTGGGGAGGGCAGAGCCTCGTCTGGAATGGCAGCTGGCATTCTGTGTTCCTGTTTATTGCAGTTTATCTCAAGCAGTCATTTCCATTCACCTTTTAAAAAAAACATGAGGCACAGCTGTGGCTTCACTTTAAATATTGTTCCTTCCAGCCTTTTAATTTTTTCACGGGGTCCTCCCTAATCTTTCACTATAATTGGATGCACAACAGAGAGACAGCACCTCTGAGGAACAAAGCCAGGCGAGCCGGCTTGCCGGGTCCCTGGACCACACACCGCCCTGTCCTCACTCCCTCAGTCTGCGCAGGGTCTGGGGACAGAAGGAGGATCCATCCAGCTTCTCTGTGCTTCCTCTGCTCTGGGACAAAGTTGGAGCCACTCCTTTGCCATACTCCATATTAAACTGTCTTGATTTCCTTCTGTCTCTCTCCCTTAGTGTAACTGGGGCCTCTCTCTGCCCTCAGACGGCCATAGGACCTGCCAATTTTACAAGCCCACAATGGCAGCTGAACATTCTTCCAGGCAGCACCGACCCTGTGCAGCTGCCTCCCTGTGTGGACTCTAAGCTCCCAGGGGGACCCTCAGCCTCCTGTCTGTGATTCTGGCATGGCACACCATGACGGGAGCACAGAGAGCTCCTGGCAAATGACGGTGGAAGGAATCAGGACCTGACTCCGTGCTGCATGCCACAGTGGGCCTGAGGACAGCGAGCTGTGTGGCTCCTCAGCAGCAGACTGGAAGTTGCTCACAGTGGGCAGGGGATAGTGGGCTGGACACATGCATGTCGGGTGCTGCCAAGGCCTGCACTCTGGTCTTCCCCAATACTAAGACCTGCTTTCTGCAGAGTTTTACTACTACTGAATAAACCAGAGGGCCGTAATGAAATATCTTTCTTAAGATCAGAACCTTCCCCAAGGAAAGGGACAGATGCATAATCTTTTCCTTCCTTTGCCCTCCGTGGGATCTAATTTTAGTCATCGGAAAGTGACCTTTCCCCTGAAGGCTGTTTGTCTGACTTTAAAACAACCCTGTAACATAATCCCTGTACGCATGTGGTATTTATTAGTGCAACTGGTTCAGGGAATTCGATGGTACCCAGGCAGAGGTGTTTTTTTTTTCAATTGTTTTTGACAACTGATATTAAAGTGGGATAAGTGTATCACAAGAGAGGAAAGAAGAAATTACTAGAACTTTCATTTTTATTTCTATTTTAAACATTTTATTCTTTAAACTATCGATTTGTAGACACATTTATGCGTCATATACTTTTACAGTGGTAAATGAGTATAATTTTTCTGAAATAAAAAAACAATTTCTGAATCAAAAATTATAATTTTTTAATGAAAATAATGTATGAATTAGAAAATAAGTATAACATGTGAGTTAAAAATAATTTCTGAATTATTAGCGGCACAGACTCAAAAAGATTTCACTGATGGATGGATGGATGGATGCAAGGTCAAAAAAACCTACAGAGCACTGCTTTATGCCAGCTAATTTAATTTTCTACTTAGCCAACCAAACAGCAAAAACATTAGAGAAAAGAAAAGGAGGATTCTAATTAGGGAAAGTGACTTTTATACTAGCTACATGTTTTCCTATTCTTTACATATATTTTTAAAAAGCATATGTTGCCCCGTTTTACTAGAAGCTCTTAATAAAATTACAATAGTGTTTCTTCAAAGACTAATAAAACCTCTCTAGTAAACACGGCATACATAAATTGAAAGCACTTTGCTGGAAAAAGAAGGTCGTTAAAAAACTGAAATGACAAGAGAACAACTCATGTTTCAGACCCAGAAGTGACATAGTGATCCCTAGCATTCCACACATCTAGAAGTTTCACCTAGTGCTTTTATTTTTTTGTACTAACCTATGAGCTACTCTTTCTCCAGCAATCACATGCAGCATTGTACGCCTTCCTTAGATAATGGCTCACACAAAGCAACTCTGTTTGGTTGTTGTGGATGTGCGAAAGCTCCTGGAGGCTTACATGTTTGTGGCTTTAGTCAGCCCTGTCTCCGGTTGCCGGTCTATCACTGCCCACTAATTCCAGGCATCTGCACTCACTCTCCCATTTCTAAGCAGGATAAAACTCCAGTGGTTGTGGCTTTATTGTTGGCGCATTAGCAATGGTGTCTTTCAGTTTTCCTACATGCGAAGTGACCTGCAGTTTTCTCTCTGAGAAACAGTTTGACAAAGAACACCGTGACCAGTTCTCTGGCGCTGAAAGCAGAGGCAGTAGGAGGACAGCACACTTGCTCTGCAGGGTTGGATAAGCAATCAGACGCTATGGGTGTCTTCTGCACACCGGCTTCCGGCAGGAAAGAACAGCTGAGCGGTTTTAGAGTTTCAGGACTCTGCGACCTTATCAACTTGGGGGTGGGGGACAGGGGATACAAAATGCACAAGGGAACATGGCAGGCCACTGAAGCCTTCTTCATATATGTTAAGTTTTAGCTTCTGGAAAAAGAACATAAACTATTGTGAACTGCTCTAAGAAATAAAGTTTATACTTCAGGTAGTGCCCACTCTCCCACCAATGCATATAAACAAGATATTGACTATGATTACAATGAAGGTTCTATCATGATAGAAGCTCCTTTCTAGAACTCACTCTGGGAAAAAGAAAAGAAAAGAAAAGAAATGACATATTTGACCAAATAAAAAGTTGAGCTGCGAAATGTACTGTTCTGTCAGGTGATATGAATGGATATTTGCCTCGGAGTTTGGAAGAGAAGACTGCATTTCCAAGTATACGTCAGAAGGGCCCTTATTCTTCGTACTATGCTGTGTTGTGAACCACACTTGACAACAGCAGATAATAAGGGGGAAGGATAGAGTGTGTGTTTAGCCTTCTGTGGACAGACAAGCATATACTTGTAGTTTCATTTCATGACCTCACCCATGTAACTAAAGCTATTTTTACTTGGGCCTGTCATTACCAGCTGATTACCATATAAAACATTCCCAATATAGATTTAAAGACTTTCAAAAGAAAAGGCAAAGAATTAACCGCTACTGTATCCATTTTGAAAAACCTCTAACTTTTCTTGGTGAAACTTTATACTTTTTCTTGTTAAACACATCAAACTTAGAAAGATAGGGTAAACATTATTTACTGGAGGCAAACTGTCAATTTATTGCAATAATTTGATAAAATATTCCTTTACATAAAAAGCCTGCCTAGCAATGAAATGCATGAATAGAATTTTCTCAACGTCAGAATACCAACATGTGTATTTAAGTTACCGTTATAATATATAATGACTTGAAAGTGGGAAAAGCAGAAAGAACACTCCCAGCTTGACGGTTTTGAATTTTGTGCATTTCGTTTTCCTGACTCTACACTACGGCAGTGGCCACTGGCTGTGGAATCCGGCTCCCAGTTAGAAAAATGGTTCAATTGTTTATAAACAAAAGAGCTCTCCCCTCCTTACCTTTTTATAATTCCCCTCCATATCCAATGGGGATTCTTGCCTGATGATGTCAGCCATTCCATCACTGTCCAAATTCATCCTTTAACTCTAGAATTTCACTGAAGAAATAACCTCCCATGAATTCTGATAGGCTGGTATGCCCACTGCCCCGTACCCGGTTACTGCTCATGCTGACAAGGAGGCCAGCTAGAGTCCATGCCTGGCTGAGTGTGTCCTTGCCCCGCTCTGTCCCAGAGACACCGCCCTGTCCTGCCTCCCTGGTCTGCTCCTCGCTCCTGCACTGGACAGCTGCCTCTCCCTGTCCCTGCGTGTCCAGAGGACAGCCTTCCCACCATCTGCTGTCACCTTCCCCTGAACGATCCGCCCAGATTCCTCACCACAGCACCTTTCCTGCTCTCAATAAAGGAAAAGAGAGGTAGGGAATTGCGGCCCGCTGACCAGACGCCCTGCGTGGGGCTGGGTGTGTCTGGAGACAGGCAATCTTATTCTGAACGAGGGGTAGATGGCGCGGGATAAAAATAGACGCGAAAACTTCAGCCTTGCACACTTCACTCGTGAGACAGAAGTCGGGGATCCCATGACCAAATGAAGACAGTGTAATTTAAAGGCTGACCTGTCTGAGAGAGGCCTACGCTTTCTTTTTTCATAACCAAACATTTCTTAAAATTAGATCATGAAAGTCTCATCTGGTAGGAGCCTCAGCTCAACACTGAAATGGATTTCCAAAACAGAGAGAGAGAGACCCTCTGCCCAGGAGCTGGGCTTTGTTCTATTAATATAGGCAAGAGAAAAAGATCCATCAACTTTTCTTTAAAATTCAGCCAGTGGCGGGCTTTTCCACAAAAGCAAACGCCCTTTTCTATGACTCTTTTCACTCTTTTCCCATGGCTTCTGGTTTTGTTTACAGGCTTTACATGAAGGGAGGGAAAAGGGCCACAGCTGGAGGATGTTTTGGTGCAAGAAAAAGACCAACAGAAGCACACACACAAACACGCAGTTGTCATTATTACTACTGCCAGAAACTGCAAAATAGACCCACAATTTATTTAGTTTTTGGAAAAGTTACTGTTTGTAGGAGAAACGGGCCAGAGAAGAATTCAAAGGCCAAGCCTTCATGTAGCAACACCATCTTACCCTCAGACATGCTTAGATAGAAACGTGCCAGTCAACGCGTTTTCCAGAAAAGATTCTTGAGCAATGGTAACACCGTTAAGAACAGAGTTCCAAAACCCCATGCTAGATGGTTTTGGCATCTGAACCTTCGCTGACAAGCCCACCTTCAGTCATCTACTTATTTCGCTCCATAACTTTTTAAAAAATTCAATTTGTGGAGGATTTCTGGCATCCACGTGCAGCCTGACTTCTGCAAAACAACTGCTTTCCTCTGCAGCTCCCATCCAAGACCAATCCTTCCCTTATTCCATCCTCACGAATTGCACGTGTCAGGCACTACAATGCCGAGCTGTATTGCATGAGCCGCCCTTGCCTTTGGGCGGGCTCCTCCTTCGCAGCAATCTCTCTGGTCTTACTCTCCTAAGACCCCAGGCCCCTCACTCCAGATGGGGCTTCCCCATCCTCATGAAGGGAGGACAGCGTGTTTCCTAGAGCCTAATGGCAATGCCGCCCACCGAGTGCTTCCTCTAGCGCCTGTGTTGCCATCAAAGGGGAATTCACCAAGGTTAAGGCTTTCGGGTTAAATTATGCTTGGTCCAGTCAGTGGCCTGGTGGTTAAGGAAGCTGGATCCCAGATGGCCAACTATGTGATTCAAGTCCCACTTGGCAGCTTGAAAAAACACACTAGGTGCATGCATGCCCAAATTATTTCTGTAGAAAAATGAAGACAGGCTTGTGTGTAACCGGCCCCATGGGGGGTGCTTTGTCCCTTCTTCCCCACCCCCACTACTCCTCTCTACCCCATCTCTCTGTCTCTGAAGAGCAAACACGCTCCCTAGCAAAATTAAAGTAAAATGGTATGCTCAATCTACTTTGAAGGACCCTATGTATGTTAAATCCTGCCAAAGGGGGTTAGTTAAAATGAAATATACATCTTTTTACAAGGCATATATTAACATAACAACAGCCACCCCTTACTGAGGGGTTGCTACACGCCAGGCACTTGAGATGTGCTTTCTACATGAACCTTTAATCCTCCCAACCCTTTGGAGTAGATAACTTTTTTTTTGAAGAGAGATTTTTGCTATAGGGTGCATGCACTCATCAGAGAGACAAAGAGAGACAGAAAGTAAGAAATCAACACCCCCCCCCCCACACACACACACACACCGGGAGAATGGCCATGTCAAAATCCCCTCTGCATTCTCCTCTCGGAATGTTAGGCAAGCACGCACAATGGAAGCATGAGTTGTAAGCCTTCGGGTCCAGGGCTGGAACCGCAGTTGGCTATGGGAGAGTCCAGCGATGTAATCATTATGCCATCTGCTGGGCCCTGGAGTAGATATTATAAGCTGCCTTCCTG